TGAGGAGGAGGGCCAGGAGCAAACACCAACAGACAGCGGCGTGACCAGGCTGACTGACCAGGCGGCTGCAGGTATCCGCTCTCTCATCTCATCTCATCTCATGTCACCTCTGCTGGCGACAGTCGGAAATTGTTGAGCGGAATCGTTGACCATATAGGCCTCCGGGTCGATGCGCACCTGCAGCACCACGTAACACCACCGGCCACGATCAACCTAGGGAGGGAGGGATGCACACGCAAACGAACCAGCAGACATCACATCGAGTACCGACTTGACTGACTCGGGGGATGGATGGGAATTGTCCGTCCGTCCGTCCACTCACGATGAGTGCCTCGGAGTATGCTTTTGCGTAGTCGAGGGATGGGGTGCAGAAGGTGAAGAACTGCCCGGGGATGTGGCCCGGCAAAATGCGGATCTGGATGTTGTCGGGGATCTTGAGCAGCCGGTCCTTCACGATGACCGGCACCGTCCTGCGCCGGGTGCCGTGGTAGGCAGGTAACCTACACACAACCAACCAAAAGCAGCCAAAAGAACCGAACGATCCATCCATCCATCCACCGATGTATCGGTGGTCAGTGAGTACCATTCCTCTGACATTTCCTTCTCATCGGGCTGCAGCTTGATGCCGACCCGGTACCAGCCTACCGGCGGCATGTAGCACACCGACGATGGGCCTCTGACGACGGACGGACGGATGGGACGGGCGAACCACACACACACAAAAACAAACACATCCATACAGAAGAACAGACAGAGCGCGTGTGTGTGTGTTTGTCTGTGTGGCTGAGTGGTTCCTCCCTCCCTCCCTCTGGATTGCCTGCCTCGCGTAATATTGGTTGGCAGGCTCCGTGTAGCACTTGGGGCAGAAGCACTTGTCGTATCTGCAGATTTATCAAGGAAGCAGCGCACTCATTGCAAACACACATTCACTCATCGATCTCCATCCACTGTGAGAGCAGTGAGCCGCCCACCTCTCGTCGAGCAACTCAGGGGAAACACCGAGCTGCCGCATCGCCTTGAAGCAAACACACACACACACAGACAGCCACGCACCCTCCCGCCCCACCAGTGTGTGTGTGTGCAGATACTCGACAGCCACGCACCCTCCCGCCCCACCAATGCGTGTGGGTGCAGATACTCGACAGCCACGCACCCTCCCGCCCCACCTGTGTGTGTGGGTGCAGATACTCGACAGCCACGCACCCTCCCGCCCCACCAATGCGTGTGGGTGCAGATACTCGACAGCCACGCACCCTCCCGCCCGCACCCTCCCGCCCCACCAGTGTGTGTGTGTGCAGATACTCGACAGCCACGCACCCTCCCGCCCCACCAGTGTGTGTGTGTGTGCAGATACTCGACAGCCACGCACCCTCCATGTGTGTGACCGGCAAGCGTCACACCCACCACCAGCAGGCCAGAAAAAGACCGGCAAGCATCACAGCCACCACCAGCAGGCCAGAAAAAGACCGGCAAGCGTCACAGCCACCACCAGCAGGCCAGAAAAAGACCGGCAAGCGTCACACCCACCACCAGCAGGCCAGAAAAAGACCGGCAAGCATCACAGCAACCACCAGCAGGCCAGAAAAAGACCGGCAAGCGTCACAGCTACCACCAGCAGGCCAGAAAAAGACCGGCAAGCGTCACAGCTACCACCAGCAGGCCAGAAAAAGACCGGCAAGCGTCACACCCACCACCAGCAGGCCAGAAAAAGACCGGCAAGCATCACGACGGTCTTCCTGGCGCCTGACAAAGGCTCCATTCTGCACACACACGCACAGACACACAGAGCCTCTTGCAGTTACTGCCTGGGATGAATCCCTCCCTCCCTCCCTCTGTGTCTGTCTGTGTGTCCGTCCGGTTGTCGCCAACCAACTGAGTGCATTCCTTTCGCTCACGCTGCTGGAGAGGGAGGGAGGGAGAGGAGCGCTTGGCCTGCCTGCGTGAAGTCCTCCCAAACGCCCTACTGACTGACTGAATGGCAGCAATTAGGCAGCCAGCGTAGCCTGCACACATACGCACACATACGCACACAAACATCGAAGGGTTCAGTAGCGCCTGAGTTAATTGTGTGTGTGGCTGTCAGTTGAAATGGAAAGGGGAGCTCGGTATATATAAGCTCGCATCGATCGTCGATCGGTTTCCTTTGGGGTTTTTCCCATTGCAGGGGTGTAAAGGGGCGACTGGCGTGCTCAGCTACACCCTACTGATGCGTGGGATATACGACTGTGACAAATTGGCGTGTGTGACAGCAGTGGGAGACGCTGAATGTGCGCATTCAGAGAGAGGACGGGCCGCCCGTCTGTGTGTGCACACCCACTTTATTTGCCCCTGCACAAAGGCGACACGTGTCGGCCGGCCGCTGACCGTCCTGTTGATGTGCGAAACAGCCCCGTGTGTGCAATCGACGCTGAGTAACACATGGGCAAGTGTGTCGGTCAGGCGCACACAGACGCACGCACAGGTGAATGACCATTAAGGCTGACCACAGACAGCGTCACTGTAGATGCCCGTGTCAGGCATGCTCTTGCCGTAATTCTCACGCCCCAGTCGCCCCCCTCCGCCCTCTCACCGCTGAGGCCGATATGGGTGAGTGTTTGTGGTGACAACAACCTGGGTGTGGACGCATCGACAAGGGCACTCCAGCCAGTTGATTAGACCTTTCCCTATACCTTTGTCCTACCAGGAATATTTCCGGTCGTTGTTGGACCAATACCCACCTCCACTCCTCAGGCCTCCACTCACCCATCTCGGCAAACACCAGACACCCACACACAATCCGCCAACAAAAAGACCGGCACGCCTCTACAAAAGACCGGCACGCCTGTTACCTTGTCAGGCACTCACCGGCCGTCATTTTGCTGCCCCAAACACCCACACACGGCCACTCCACGCTGAGAAACACATGGGCAAGTGTGTGGGCAATTTCGTGAATCCACGTGTGCCCGCCTGCAAGCCCTCATCGCTCTCGTCGTCGAGGCGCTCGAGGAGAAGGGAGTCATTGTAGACCCCTGCAATGTCGGAATGATGACACTCTGCACCAAACTTCGACGACAAAACAGTCCTCGGTGTTGTTTATGCCTTATATATTTCTTCTACTCACAGGTCTGTCTCCACAGCCGTGAATGCACTCACGTCTCCACAGCATACAAGATGGCCATATAGTACATCCATCACACAGTCAGTCTGCAACACTTCAATAACCAGACAGACAGACAGACGCAAAAGAAAGGCGAAAACCAGGTAGGTGCGCGGATCGATCGTCAGAGCTTCAATAAAGCGGCACTCACGCAGACACGCAAACACAGCCACGCGGCTGCAGCTATGCACAATACACACACACACACAGAGGGAATGGAGCCTTCCTATGTGTAGCAGTATGTAGTAGAGGACGTACGGACTTGCGCGCATGAGCATCCCTTCGTCACTCGGTGGGTGGCGGAAATGACCCAAAAAAAAAGTCACGAAAGACAAAGGAATGGACGGATAAGTATTAATGCCAGCCAGCCAGCCAGACAGACAGACAGACAGGGGAGGGCAGTCTGACGCCCACACCACATGGCCCGTCCATATACACATACACACAAATAGATATACACACACACAGCACACACACACACACACACACACACAGTCAGGACCGCTTCCCCCCTCTCCGCCCTCCTCTGGCCGTGCTCAACAGCTGTGGAAGAGGCAGACACGCAATGCACGAAGAAGTAGATGGATGCTCCCCTTGCTCATCGGACGCCAGCTCCGCCCCCACAGCCTCTACAGCAGCATCGTCATCCGCCGCACCCTCCTTGACAGCACCGCTCTCGACAGCCGGCTGCTTCGACTGCACCGACTGCTCCACTGGACGCTCGACCGCCGACACATACTGCTCTATGGCATGGTCCAGATTCCCATCGAGCTCTGCCGCCTCTCCTGTTGCTGAAGCGATGTCACCACCACCGGCCCTGAAACGAGATAAAGGGAAGGACAGAGAGCATGCACACGCAGTTGTTTGGGTAGGAGGTAGGCAGGCAGGCCCACCGGGCCACTAAGCGCTGCTCGACGGGGAGCAGTTCGGCAAGGGCAGGAGGCTCCGCGTCCGTTGTTGGTCGGACGAGCACACCATACACCACATTCTTGCCGCACTGCTTCGACTTCCACTCCAAAACCTATCGATGGATAGATGGACGGATGGATGGATCAGTCAATCAATCAAGGAGAGGAGTGCTGTCTGTCTGTCTGTCTGTCAGTCTGTGTGTTTGTGTGTGTGTGTGTGTGTTTGTGTTTGTGTGGACCGACAGTCCAGTCGGGCGGCCAGTTGGACCGGTTGTGGACGGTTCTCGCGTGCACCGAGTCCTTGGCTGAGGAGGAGGGCCAGGAGCAAACACCAACAGACAGCGGCGTGACCAGGCTGACTGACCAGGCGGCTGCAGGTATCCGCTCTCTCATCTCATCTCATCTCATGTCACCTCTGCTGGCGACAGTCGGAAATTGTTGAGCGGAATCGTTGACCATATAGGCCTCCGGGTCGATGCGCACCTGCAGCACCACGTAACACCACCGGCCACGATCAACCTAGGGAGGGAGGGATGCACACGCAAACGAACCAGCAGACATCACATCGAGTACCGACTTGACTGACTCGGGGGATGGATGGGAATTGTCCGT